GAAGAAGTATGGAGAAAAGGAGAAGATGGAGGAGAGAAGGAGGGAAGGAGGGAAGGAGGGAGATGGAGTGAAGGGAAGCTAGGAAAGGGAGAGCCAGGGGGGACAGGATACTGGGAAGGGGGGGGGGGTGAAGGACCACTGAGAAGGATTCCCTCAGGACGCACGAACTAACTACTTGGCTTTGGCTTTGTTGTCTTTGGCTATCCGGCGCGTGTGTGTGTGCTTGTGTGTGTGTGTGTGTGTGTGTATGCGTGTGTCTCTGTGTGTGTGTGTTTGAGCGTTTGAGTGTTTATGTATATGTGTGTGTGTATGTATATGTATGAGTGTGTATGTACGCATGTATGTATGTACGTATGCCTTCACTCAGCAGACTTGGACCTCCATTTACATTTCCCTTGACCTTTGTTTACATGTGTTATCTTATCTCTCTTCCTGTTAGTGCTTTTACCTGTATCTGTAAGGGAAGTACAAGAGATGAGTTATATCTGTGCCTTTGTCTCTTTACTCCTGTTTGTGTGTGTTTTTCTGTGTGTGTAAGTGTGTGTGCGCGTGTGTGTGTGTGTGTTTGTGTTTTTTTGTTTTTTTTTACTTGTGTCTGTGCGTGGTGATTGGTGGGTTGCCAGTTTCTTTTTCTTTCTTTCTTTTTCTTTATTTTTCTTGGTTATATCGTTACTTGTGTCTACATATTTCTTTTTTTTTCTTATCTCTTTTTTTTTCTTTTCTTTTAATCTTTTCTAACCATTGCGTGATGAGAAAATAAACACTGACTTGCAGCTCTGGAATCGCTCGAAGCTGCACGAAATAATTTTATCATCACGAACTTTAAGCTTCGTGGGAAATAGGTTTTGGTTGCTAATAATAATAATAATTATAATAACGATAATAAAAATAATAATAATAATAATAATAATAATAATAATAACAATGATAATAATGATAAGAATAACAACAATAATAATAATAATAATGATAATAATAATAATGATAATAATAATAATAATAATAATAATAATAGTAATAATAGTAATAATAGTAACAATAATAATAATGATAATCATGACAACGATACTAATAATAATAGTAATAATAATAAAAACTATGATAATAATGATAATATTATTATTAATAATAATAACTATGATAATAATAATAATGATAATACTAAAGATAATGATAGCAAAAATAATAATGATAGTCAAAATAAAAATAATAACAACAATGAAAATGATAATAATGATAATAATGATAATAATGATAATAATGATAATAATGATAATAATGATAATAATGATAATAATGATAATAATGATAATAATGATAATAATGATGATAATGATGATAATGATGATAATGATGATAATGATGATAATGATAATAATGATGATAATGATAATAATGATGATAATGATAATAATGATGATAATGATGATAATGATAATGATAATGATAATGATAATGATAATATTGATAATGATAATATTGATAATGATAATATTGATAATGATAATGATAATATTGATAATGATAATGATAACAGTATTAATGATGACGATAATGACAGTTATTACCATTATCATCATTATTACTTTTATTATATCATTATTATTATTATCATTATTATTATTATTATTATTATTATTATCATTATTATTATTACTATTATCATTATTATTATCATCATTATCATTATTATTATTATCATTATGACTGTTCTTGTTATCATCATTATTATTGTCATCATTATTATCATCATTTTCATTATAATCATCATTATCATTATCATGATTGCCATCATTACCATTATTATCTTTATTATTATCATTATCATTATTGTTTTACCATAACCATAACAACAACAAAAATAATAATGATAAAAAATAATAGTAATAATGATAATGATTATCATCATTATCATTACCATCATCATTACCATCATTATCATTATCATTATTATTATCGATATCATCACTGTTGTTATCATCATCACAACCATCATAATGATATCAATATCAACAACAAAACAATGACAGTAACAATACAAATGAAGTACTTTTACAAAAAAAAAATAGCATTTTCTTTCCAACTAGTACTTATAACAGAGTAAATATCTCACTCAAAACATTCAACATGGAAGCTCTGGAATAAACGAATCTTCATTGTTTTTTCACAGCAACAGTAACAGCATCCCTTCATTAATAAGTTCCTCTTGCCTCATAATTTAGATTACTTCGTATATACATCACAGTGGTTCTTGGTTGCCCAACTCGTTTTCACATTTCAGAGTTATTCAGGTCAGTTCAATTTAGGATTTTTTCAGGATTTAGCCGGATTGAATTCAGTATGGTACGTCCTTTGTTCCCAGTTATTTAATCTGATTATCGTAAATGAAAGCTTATCAGGGTTGCCTCTGTGTTTCCAGTTTCTATATGGTAAGAGTCACGTATAACCATCTCACGTGGCAAGCAACAGGGGTCATGGGGAAGGGGGGAAGGGGGGAAGGGCACTGAGGAAGCACGTATGTTCACACTTCAGGGGTCTGGTGCTGACAACAGTGCATGCAATAGTGTTCCTCACAGTCACTGGTTTCTGTGATTTACCATGCACATCTCCGTCTTCAGTTGGCGAAGAAGAACTTCGGTACTTTCTTGATCTCAGCGCAGAGAGTGGCAGTGGTTCATGCTGTGTGGTGTCTAAGTAACCCTTGACTGAGGGGAAGGTTTTCGCTTTCTCTCTGTGGAAACCAGGTCGTCCCTCAACTGCGCTTCGTCTTAATGGTTCTCGCCTTGGATAAAATTGTTCCCTGTTAAGCTTTTCAGATCGATTAGCAAGTTCATATATTCCAGTGTGGCTAGAGACCTATTTAAGAATGGCCTTTACTGAGAATTCACTGGGTGATGGTGAGAATAATGGTCAGTTGGCACTGTCGTTGGACATGCTTTGCTGCAGGCTGTCATTAACCGCCCTTGGATCCTTCTGGAAAACCACGTGTCTCCCCTTCTGGGATATACGGGCAGCAGTCTCTACTTGTAGCAAAGAGACAATGTACAGAACCCAAATAAATGAAGCCTTGTCTCTTGCTGCAAAACAACCGGGTGTTTATAAAGTGTTTATAATCAGGTCTAAGGCATCTTGGGACTTTTGCCTGGCCTACATGTCCAAAGGTACCTAGATGACCAAAACAAAGCATTGTGCTTTCGTCCTGTGTCAATCCTGTCTCATTTTGGACTAAGTCAAGCCTGTAACAATAATCAGGGCGACAGAAACAGAGTCTATGATAGGATACTTTGCATGGACACCAAGTGACCTCAGGACCTTGTGACCAGCTCTAATGCATCTTCCAGTCTGTGTTCTCATGACAGATACCATTGCCTGAGTACAGTTAACTAGGCATTGTAGCTCCCTTAGAAGCAAACGCGATTCAAATGACACGAAACATACATAAACACACACACACACACATAATATATATGTATATATATATATATATATATATATATATATATATATATATATATATATATATATATATATATGTATATATATATATATATATATATATATATATATATATATATATATATATATATATATATATACATATATATATATATATACATATACATATTCATATATATATATATATATATATATATATATATATATATATATATATATATATATATATATATATATATACATACATATATATATATATATATATATATATATATATATATATATATATATATATATATATATATATATATATATATGTGTGTGTGTGTGTGTATATATATATACATATATACATATATATATATATATACATATATATATATATATATATATATATATATATATATATATATATATATATATATATATATATATATATATATATATATATATATATATATATGAAAATACTGTATTTATATTTGGCACTGCACTAGAACTGTAAACGGAATGTATGTGACATATGAGAAAGTTTTTGGATAGAGAATTCGCTTCACTAGCTCTTTTTATTAGAAATAAAAAGTTGATATAATCAAACACCTCCACACAGTCTCCCCACACCCCAAGGTACCTGATCTTATATGGGGAATGTAATTTATAATATAACATAGACTAGGGGGTTAAATCTGGGTAGTGGAACGTAGGGTTAAACATCCATAGCATGGACACAAAGATAAAAGGAAACGTAGCCTTAAGTAACAATTGAAAAAGAACGTAACGTTGAAAACTCGTCAAGAGTTCCTCGCCGTTTTTTACAACAAGTCGACTTAGAATCGTACAAATCTGTAATCCGATAACAACAGTGTAAAGCTTTTCGCACAGACACAGACATATATATATATATATATATATATATATATATATATATATATATATATATATATATATATATATATATATATATATATGCGTGTGTGTGTGTGTGTGTGTGTGTGTGTGTGTGTGTGTGTGTGTGTGTGTGTGTGTGTGTGTGTGTGTGTGTGTGTGTGTGTGTGTGTGTGTGTGTGTGTGTGTGTATCTGTGTGTGTGTGTGCGTGTGTGTTCGCTAATCAAGCGAATCCTTTATTCAAAATCCTCCACGTTTGCCAAATTTTGTATCTGAAGTACAGTACAGTACCGTACGTATATAATAGTTTCCCATATTATATTTTACGTTTTCTTTGAATGACGTTTGCTTTTACAATTTCTCTTTCTAGGGATAACATAAATATTTTTTTTCGTTTGATGCAAATACGTTAGCTATTTCTGTGATTCACTGACATATCATTTTATATTTGCATTTAATCCTTTGAATGAAACGTATGTAGATCTCTGTATATAACCGGATTTTTATTTGATTTTTATTCTAAATGATCAATTCTAGTAACTATTTCCTTTGCTTATACAAGGGAATAAAATCAATACCAGTTAGTTTCTGTGTCATCATGTCCGTAATCCAGTTGACATTAATTCAACCTTGCTTTAGATGATAATAAAGGTAAGTGCATTATTATTAAGTTTTATTTTCATGGGCGGCAGAAGCACGTAATGTGTTGGATTTTACAGTGATAAGCTGACTTTATATATGTATATATATATATATATATATATATATATATATATATATATATATATATATATATATATATATATATATATATATATATATATATACGCAAGTATGAATCTTTATTATATCAAAGAATCATTTTCGTTATTTCGAGCTCCTCAAAACCCCTTTTAATCAATAACAAAATTATCCCCCTCCTCACATTCCCAGGACCTCCTCCACCGGCTGAAGACTTCCCTCCTGTCCACACTCCTCGCCAAACCTCCCTCAGTCTACGTTGAGCTTCCTGAAGGAGCCCTCGATCCCGAAGAGGTCGGCGGACGTCTTGGCCTTCCCGGGGCGCTTCGACTCGTCCACGCCGTACTTCTCGTCCTCCAGGAGCCAGTCCCGACGGGCGTCCACGCGCTGGAGCCAGTAGTCTGTTGGCCAAGGAGGAGGGGGAGGGCGGGTGAGCATCCGGAGGAGATAGATGGAGAAGGTAAGGAGAAGGAAAGGAGAAGGAAAGGAGGGAGATGGGGAAGTGTTCGAGGACATGGAAGTAGAGGGGGAGGGAGAAAGGGAGGGCGGGTGAGAATCCGGAGGAGATAGACGGAGAAGGAAAGGAGGGAGATGGGGAATTGTTCGAGGAAATGAAAGGAGAGGGGGAGAAAGGGAGGGACGCGTGAGAATTCGAAGGAAATAGACGGAGAAGGAGATGTTACAGGGAGTTTGCGTGAAGGTGAGAGACAGGGGAGTGTTCGAGGACATTATGGATAGGGGGAGACGGGGAGAGGCGTGTGAGAATTCGCAGGAAGCAGACGGAAAAAGAAAGGTGACAGGAGATTCAGTCTTGAGAACATCTAAGGAGAGAGGATAAGCGGGAGGGCCTTGTGAGAATTCGCAAGAGAAAGGCGGGAAAGGAAAGGTTACAGGAACTAAAATTTGCAGAAGAGAGAAGGAGAAGTGTCTTGAGATCCTGTACGGAGAGAGGGAGGGGCGACTTCACGACCTGCAGGAAGGCGTGTGAGACTTTACAGGCAAAAAAAAGCTAGGTTATAGGGACTTCAGACTGCTGGAGAAAGAGGCAAGATATAACTGGAACTTATTTATAGGAGAGAGAAAGAGAGGCGTCCTCAGGTCTTGTTATCTAGAGACGAAGGAAAGAGAGAGGGATAATCTCTAGAAATAAACATGGAAAAGAAAAGTAGGGAAGAATAGGCCTACAAGAGAGAAAACAGGAGGATTATGAGAAACCACAGGAGGGAGGTTTTTAGTCTTGAGGATCTGCAGTCTAGGAGGAAACAGAGAGAAGGAGAAAAAAACACAGAAGAGAGATTCTGAGAAAACTTTATAGGAAATAGGAGAAACATTTGAGGACCTATAGCCTAGAGGGAGAAATTAAGGAGAAGAGGAGTTTGATGAAGAAGAAATAAGAGAGAAACAGAGACTTTATATCAGAGGTACAGTTACTGGTGAGAGAAAGATGAGAGAGAGTTTGAGGACAAATGGAATCCAGGAGATATAAGTGGCCTTTGAGGAAAAGGAAACATGGAAGAGAAAAGGAAGAACTGCAGGAGAAAAAATAAAAAGGGAGAAAATACATAATCACGAAGGAAAAAGTACGTGATAAGTCTTGGTACATTATAGGCAGAAGATGAGATACCTTCCTAGACCCACACTTTAACTCAAAGGATTCATTTTCTAAGGACTAGCAGTCTCAGGGGCCTTTCCTTTCCCGGGCCCACACTTTCATATACAGAGGATCTCTCTCTCTCTCTCTCACTCTCTTTCTCTCTGTCTCTCTCTCTCTCTCTCTCTCTCTCTCTCTCTCTCTCTCTCTCTCTCTCTGTCTCTCTCTCTCTCTCTCTCTCTCTGTCTCTCTCTCTCTCTCTCTCTCTGTCTCTCTCTCTCTCTCTCTCTCTGTCTCTCTCTCTCTCTCTCTGTCTCTCTCTGTCTCTCTCTCTCTCTCTCTGTCTCTCTCTCTCTCTCTCTCTCTCTCTCTCTCTCTCTCTCTCTCTCTCTCTCTCTGTCT